CGCCCGCCGGCGGGGCCCCGCGGTAACGCAGACCCTGTCTCCCGCAGATGCTGTCCGGACGCCGAGGTCCGCGCTGGGGGTAGTGCCCGGCGTGGCCGCGTCCGCGCTGTGATTTCCTGCTCTCCACGTATACTGCCCTGCGCGCCGTTTGAGCGCGAGGCGGGCCGGGAGAAGGGCAGCTTTCTGTAGGATCCCCTCTGCCTGGCGTTGGAGGGTGGAAGCTTTGTGCCTGGAAGTCGTCCTTCCCATTCGTCTTCAGGAGCCGGGGGAGCTTGCTCTCTGACAATGATGAAAACCGAAGGCAAAGGGGAAAGGACTTTAAGAAGTGCTTCTCCGCACCGAAACGCCTATAAATCCGATTTCCATGCTATCAAATGCTCTTTTGATGGCGTAAACAATCCTGAAAACACTTCCAACAAAACGGGCTTGCACCAGAAGCTGAGCAGCTCTTCCAGTGGAGGGGGAAATGACCTGCACAGTCGAGGCAGAGCTGCCACTTACGGCAACAGAGTACACAAGATCAAGAATATGTTTCTGCAAATGGGAGGCTCCTCTTCTGCACCCTCTTGTGAAAGCAGTCCACCTGCTGAAACCAAATTAATCAGCCGGGCCACAGCAGCAGAGTATGGACCTTCTCCAGGTAGTCCATCTTTCCTCATTGTCCAAAAAAATAATCTTCTTAATACAAGTACCAGCCCCGGCAGCAGCCCTGTGGATTCATTTCCTGTGCCTTCTGCTGCTGACAAGGTCATCCGTAGCAACGATGAGGCAGACTTGGACAAAGTTGCCCTAGCAGAAAAATTTTCAGAGACCAGGAAGCTATTTGAGAGAAATATAAAACAGCGGAGCTCAGTGGACAGATATTCCCCCAGCAAATGTGAGAGAAGTGAGGATAAGAGGAGGCATGGTTCAGCTTCTGACTGCAGCAGTGTGGCGGACCACTTCAGTTTTAATACAGAAGCGAGTGTTCCAACTGTGCTGGAGAGAGTTGAAAATCAAGGTAGTGAGGACTTCAAGCAGCAGCATCCCAACAGTGGTTCCAAATCCTCCTTCCTGAATGCAGGGCCCATTTCTAGGAGGCTGGAAAGCTTTCTGGGTGACAGTGATACTGAAGAATCCAAAGAAATTTCCAAAAATTATAGTCCTCCAAATCAGGACCCTGTGAGAGGCCACCACAGTTTGGATGCGTCTGCTATTGCTGAAGGATGTCCGGAGAAGTCTGTGTCCACAAAAATGCCTGTGATCCACGGAGCTGATATTAGCGAGGCACTTGGAAAAGACAAAAGAGAGCAACTGGTACTTGAGAGAAGCCTATGGGATGTGGGCAGTACACCTGGTCAGGAGGCTCAGCGGAGATCGGATGGTGTTCTCTCCCAGGTTTCCCCCGTGGATGGGACTTGCACAGAGCTGGTTGCACAGATTGAAACCTCAGGGCATGAAAAAGAAGCTTTAGAGAAAGATCACGTTGTTCAAGAGGATCTGGCACTCCGATGTCAAATACCGGAAGGGAGGAGGAGCAACTATTCCTTGGAGGTGGTAGAAGGGTTTGGGGTAGGCAGCAAGACCAATTGGGAAGAAGGAAGAGATGGGTTGTCTGTGAAAGATGGTCCAGTTACACGCTTTCAGGATGTTCTAGAGCAGGAAGGGGATACTGAAGATGAGCAAGTGGTGGAAAAGCAGAGTGAGAACGTCTGTGCTTTTGGAATAGAGAATGCGGCTTTTGATGATGACAGGGATATAGAGCCAGAAAACCAAGGGCCTGAAGGCCAAGAAATTTTGGAGGGGGAGGAGGAGGAAGAGTATATGTATGACAGTGAGTATGAGGAGTTTCCTGGACTTTCTGAAGAGGAAGATCCTGAGCCAGACCGAAAAGTCAAGTTCTCAACTGCTCCTATCAAGGTAAGTACATTTGAGTATTCTCTCTTTTTTTTTTTGATTTTTTGTTGTTTAGCAGTCAAAAATACCTAGGAAATAAATTTTTCTGAGGTTTGTTTTCAAAGCTCTAAAAGCCCTTAAGAAAGTGTAAGCTTAGGGCTTTTATTCAAAACTGGATAAGAGAGAAGTTATAAATGAGTCACAAGTGATTTCTGAGTCACAGCAGCTTCATAAGATGGTCAGCATAGTGAAGCATGTGAGATTTTACTTAGTGGATGTTTTCAGGAACACTAAACTTTTAGGACAGGGTGCCAGCACATGACTTTTAATACCTGCCTTCATTTGTTTAAAACTGAGGCAGGATTTTGTCAGTTTTACTTTTTGTACAAAAGTTTAAAAAAAAAAAAAAACACAACAAAAACCCCCATAGCAAACCTTCAGATTAAACTTCAGACTTGTTTTCAGACTTAACTGTGAGAAAATATCAGATTACTGATTCCTGCTTAAGATTTTAGAATTCTTTTTAGTAATAACCTTTTTTATTATTATTATTTAATACTGACTCGGTGAACATGCTGTCGGAGTGTTAACCTTGGCATTTCGGAGCTAGGTAGTTGTGGAAGTAGAAGTTACAGGGCAGACTAGATAATGAGGAGTAGTGCTAACAAATTAAAAAGATTTAGGTGTGTGAATTTCCCTCACCAAAATTACCCACTAAATAAGTCATTCCACAGCTCAAAAATGTGTTTACCCATAGTGTTGTGGCAGACCTCAGTTAGTGTAGTACCTCTTAAAGTTTGGGAGGAGAATTGGGAGAGGCGACCAGGATGGAATGGGAAACTGTCCAGGATTTCTCAAGCATATTTTTCTTCTATTATTACATGAATGAAAAAGATCATCTTTAATAAACGATTTTTGCACCCTGCTCGTAGAGTGTCAGGACTTGCTTCTACTGATCAGAGGGATGCAAAGGTTCTGTTGTCTCCTGGACTTCGTGCAGTGGAGAGCTGTGATTTCCACGTTTGCTAAACACATGCCAGTGCTGTACCCCAGAAAATGTTTTGGGTGTGGCAAAATAAGAGTTTTGTTGCCTGTGGGTTTTTTTTAGTCTCTCCATAGACAGGCTGACTTTGTATGGCTCTCTTGTAGTTAATGCTGCTGTAGTGGTGACCTGGAGCACAGAACGGGGGAGCGCAGCTATTGGAAACTGCCCGATGACCCTGAGCGGGAGCCAGAGGGCCATCAGTCCATTTCCCGTGCATTTGTGCACTGAGTATCTGAGCGAAGTGCCATGTAGTGTCTGCTGTAAATGGGTGTGCGTTGAGTGACTGCTGGTTTCCTGCTGGAGGCAGGGTTTTACTGATCGTTGCTGAAATCCTACTGAAGCAGCGGCTGTAACAGACTTTTCCTGCCTTCTCTGTTATGTCTGTGCCAGACTTAGTTCAAAGCATTAATAGAAATCTCTGTGCCAGCTGTGATGGAAGCTCTTGCGTAGACAAAACTCAGTTTTCGGTAACTAGCACTGTTCAATTACAGCTGCTTCTCTGAAAGCCACAGGAACCAACCTGTACCAGATCGTCAATTACACAACCAGGAGATGAATGGTTAGTAGTAACTTTCAGCAGTTTGCCATTAAAAATAACATAGTTCTTGCCATAATGCCTCACATGGATTGGCAGAAAAAACGGCATTTAATAGCAATATGGTCAGTGAACTTTCTTTTTAAGGCCTTAAAATTGATGCTTGTGATACTTGCCTTCCTTTATCCCTTTTCAGTGAAACTTGACAATATTTTTCCTGTAATGGGTATAGGGATCTCTTTGTGCGTGTCACTTTAAATAGCTTTTTCTCCTCTGTTCCTCATCCTAAGCAATGGGTTTTTTTTTTTTCCCTTGTCCTCCTTTTTGTTTCATATTTTCTATGATATTTAGTGGGAATGAGTCCTGGTATGTGGTTTTCAGCTTTTGTGCTCTGTAAAATAAGGAATTCCAACTTTTTTTTTTTGCACTTCCCCAAAATCTTTTTCAGTAATGTACCTTTAATATCTCATTAGCTTTTTAGAAAATCCCACTTATGCCTCAGAGAAGGAAATCCCTCTTGTTTGGCTTTGAGTAGATTGTAATGCATCTTAAATGGGAACAGGAAAACAAAACCCTGAATGGTAGCAAAAGGTTATTCCTGGTCCCCACCACAGCTTAGAGCAGTGCCATGGTGAGAAATGCATCCTAGACCTTCTTTTTTCAGCTTTATTTAGACTCCTAAGTTGGACTGAAATGTGACTGCGGTTCCAGACATCCGTAGCTACTCGAGGAGGAGGTCTGTGTTTCTCCTCCTCTTAGATGTTCCGGAGAGGGGCCAGGCTGGCCTTGGCATTCTTGCTGTTTTTCTTCTGCACCTCTCTAGTAATTATGAAGAAACCATCTCTGTCTTTTGCAGTTTCTGTTTAGCACGTGTCTGGTAGAGTTAGAGAACTGAACAGATTCAGGTGTTTGGGTGAGAAAGAGCAGGTTCTTGGATGAACAAGGTTCCACAGTAATGGAGCTCTGACCATTGTACTTGGCTTACCCAAAAGAGAAGTTGGGGAAGTGTGTAGGTAACAGATATAAATTACACACAGGCACGCTAAAACCAGTATGTATGCTGCAGCAGCGAAGAGAACTTGATTAATATCTCTGTTTCAAGGTTTGTAATCAGTTGTAAAATTGGCAAGGCTTTTGAGTAGAAGGAGACTGTGGAAGGGATGTATAAGGCAGCTAACACTGTTAGTGCTGCATCTGACACATGCTGGAGATACCTACTTGTTGACATCTGTACCAGCTCTTAAGAACGTAATTTGGTAATTTCAGGAAAGAAGATGGAACATAATTATGCAAATTCTCCATTATCTTGAGTTGCCCTGTGCCTGTGAAAATAAGCATAGACGAGACACTTAAAACACGTGTTTCATTTCTGTAGAAGCTGGTGATAAATGACACCTGGGAAGAGTTCTGACTTGCTGTGGGTGACCTGGCTCTCTAAGTCTTGCTGCTGTCTGATCTCTGCAGACCTTAAGGAGCCTTATGTCTCTGTTGCTTGTTTTTCCTACAGTAGTGCAGAGTGATACCGTACAGTTGTTAGCAGAACTTCACAGACTGGGTTTGTGTATGGTATGTGAGCTGTTTTTAGTTTCTTGTTGCCACATGTGAAGCCAGTAAGGAATGTAAAGCACACTCAGCTGTCCCAGGTATTAGCAAGGGAACTGAATTTGTCTTGAAGTTTTCCCAATAAACTGTGAAAACGGTCAGCATTACAGACAGTGCAAATAACATCAGGTAACTTGTTATCTCTTTAGATTTCCCTTTGCTTTAGTAGTGTAGAGATTAAACTCACTGTCAATTGTGTGATTACCGTGAAAGGGTTTAATTAACATAAATGTAATGACTGAGGGCTGTTTGACATTTCTAATTTTGAAACTTTCCGTTGGGAAAACAAATGCTGTTTCCAAATTGACTTCTTGAGGTGTTTCTACCTCTGTGTCAGACTTTGTCCTCAAAACCTTTAACAGCACTGTGACTAACGTCTACAATTATTTATGATCCTTAGAAATTCTGTAGCTCAGGTAAATTGAAAAGATCGTACAACTGCTATTTGCTTCTGTAAGTCTAATTAGCAGTGTTATCCAGTTTGTGTTGCATGGGAGTGTCTGCTCCCAGCTTTTTGTGAATAATACTTCTTTTAAGATTAAGTCAGGAACACAGTTTAAATGACAACACCTTTATGAAGGTGTGGGTTTTACTTCTATACCTGTCACAGTTGAGAAGTTTAAACTCACATCTTAAGTGAGGAAACTAAAAGCTTTGATAGCTTGTGTGTTGTCCTAGCCAGCCGAGTATCAGCTGCTTCTGAGAGAATGTGGAAGTCCTTCATAATGTTGCCATGTGTCTTGCATGTCAGAATAGACCAGGTTTACGTATAGCTGGGACACGTACAGTAATCTTGTTCAGGCTGGCATACCCTTGAGACCTTTTAGTACAGAACTGCTTGCTGTGGAAGCTAATGAAGATACATTTGGATGAGATTTCCTGGACAGCAACCTGTCTGTAAATGCTTAGCACTTGTGGGAGATGAACAGATTTTCAGGTCAGTGTGTAGTCTCCTGAACACCGTTTTAACAGAATGTTGCAGAGTAGTGCTTCAACTTCATACATCCTCTGATCCTTGAACTGTAACTTCTATACTTACCATGTCATACACAGAAAGGGATCCAAAATACACTAACTGGTGGAAGATACCCAAACCCTGGAGTTCCTTCAGTAATTAGAGAATTAATGGCTGCATAAATGGTCAATTGTTTGTCGGCCATTGCACTTTAGTAAAATACTTCTCTGACATTAAGAAACAAATATGTGACATGGATGTAGGTTGATCTAGGAAAACAGATTTGATTTGAGAGTAGATTTGAATAGAATTGACTTGTATGTGGGAAGTCATCTGCTTTTTGTCTTGGCACCAATAATGTATTTCCATTGTGCTTTGTTTGGGATCTTTTGCAATGACAATTTGTCATAGATTGTAATTGCTTGGAAGCTCTGTTTATCACCTGCATCAACATTACAACGCTTGTAACTTAACACCATAACAACTTCTCTCCGTATTTTTACCTCAAACTTAAACTCTCCACAGTACTTTCAGTGACTTTTCACAAAAAGCAACCCTGTTGCCTTCTGCCTGCATCTGAGAGTATGGCATTTCCTGCTGGCTAACTTATCAGTAGGAGATGGTAAAAACACAGATATGAACTGGAGGAAGGAGGTACATATTTTCACACATATGTGTGAAAAATTTATTGTTTGGGGTTCTTTTGAGGAAAGATAATCTTTAAGCTCTTACTCAAATTTCAGTTTTCATAAAAGATAAACATTTATTAAGTCTAAATACATTTAATTCTGCTACAGGTTTACCTGGTTTTGGAACGTTCCATGTCTAGTATTTTTGATGCCTTGCTGCCCCTTGTTATGTTTTGATTCCATTACCTTTTTTTAGTT